CCTCAACACTCTGTTTAAAAATTGACTCTCTAATGGCTTCCTGTTACATTCCGAAAAACCCCAGGCCCTTTCCATGGCTCTCAAACCATGCCTCAGAGCCTTTTCGTTTGCTGCTCCCTTTGTCTGGAACCATCTGCCCCCAGCACCTCGTCTGGCAGATTCTTTCTCATAATTCAGGTACTGGCTTTAATGTCATCTCCTCAGGGACCTTCCCTTCTCCCCACCCTAAAGAATTTTCTCCCCCCACCAAATTGGCTCTAGCACGTCATCTTGACTTGATTTGTTCCCAGCATCTACTATCTGAATTTAAAACTTTAAACTATGTGTGTTGTCTTCCCTCCAATTCCCCCTTGTTCATTCCTGTATTCCCAGACCTAAAACAATGTTTCGGTCATCGTCTGTATTCACTGAGTGAGTGAACAGACTAACTAGGACTTCTGAAAGTTTTATAAGCAAATTCCTAATTCCCTGGGACTTAGATGTAAATAGTTCTAAGATGTGCAAGCCTGTCCTCGTATTCCATGGATGTACTTGAACTCTCCCACTCATTTATTTGAAGAGGTTCGTTGACTTCACCATTATCCCTGTCATCATTCTGGGTTATTTCAGTTTCAGTGGGACTGGAAATGAAGACAAGACAGTGAGTTTGTAACAGAGATATTGGTAAATATACAAATAAAATATAGTCTTCTTGTCAACTGGCCCAAATCCCTACTTTCCTGCAGTGATGCTGGCCTCTGCATTTGAATCTGGCTTTCATTTCTTCATTGTCATCAAAGACAGAGATATTTCTGTTGGTTAATGATAATGTGTGTAGTCAGACTGGAGAGCCCTAAATTAGTTTTTGTAAAGACGCGGCATTTCGGTAAAGTTTGATTGTCTGCAGAGCAGGTGGAGAGAACAAAATGACAGGGAAGAAGCCTATAGGGAAGCCAAAGAGTGAAATCTTTTTAGAAATCAAATAAAGGGATTTTCCAGCGGAAATTTCCCGTTATTCATTTAGGAAAGACATTTTCTATCCAGTGAGATTTTCAGAAATGAGGGTTCCATAAGCTCCCCCCAACCCTGAGGTCCTAGGGATTAACTGTCAGAAAGCTTAACATATTTTACCAAGGCCCTTTGCTATTATTCAAATCCAGTTCTTCATGAAGATAAAGAAAAAGAATAAAAGTGTAATAATAAAAATTAGTATGTTCCCAATTTGAGACTAAGTGTATCCACGAACCTTGTGTTTTCAAAATCTTATCTCCTTGGTTTTATATTACAGACAACTGTTACTACTCCCCTTCCCTTGGCCGACTTCACATCCTTCTAAAAACATGGAGGTTCTCACAGAACACAACACATTCATGATGATGCTCCCCATACCTGAAAAAATCCTCTTCCAGGCACTGGAGAGACAGCAGAGAGCAAGAGAAAGCGCAATTACAGAGCTTGCCTGCGGCCAGGGTTGGGGCAGGAGGAGGGGGTGGGGGAAGGCAACTAAACAAAGAAACATAATCTGTTGCTGTGAAAGGGGTCCAGCAGTAATAGCATCAAGGGAGAGAGGAGGGCTGGGTTACGGATGCTCAGGATTTCTAAGCAGGTGATCCTTAAGCAGCGTGAGGAATGAGAAGAGACCTAGATTAGCCAGGGAAAGAGCATCCCAGGCTGAGGCAAGTGCAGGGTCCCTACTGGGATCATAATGAGAAACCAAGATGAAGGCAGCGTGGCAGTGGGAGCGTTCTGTGAGCAGTTTGGAGGGGCAGGCAGGGCAAGGTCGACCAGCGCTTTCTGGGCAGGCCACAGGAAGGAGTTTGAACTTTATTCCAAGTGCTACCGGAGCATTTTAATAGAAAGCTATCAGGGCACGGTGGGCAGTAAATGTGGTAGAAGTGGACATGGGGAGAAATATTCAAAAGTTGTGTGTATTTGGAATTAGAGCCAACATGGCTTGGACAGGGAGGTGAAGGAGAGAGAAATAAAAGATGATTCTTTGCTTTGAGGTTTGGGCAATTGGGCTGCTGAGTTGGGAGGACTGGAGAACAGAATCATTACTTTGGTAATGAAATCACAAAGAATGTTGATGAGGTAGTAGTAAAGCCAAAAAACCTCTTCAAATGAATGAATGGGAGTGTGCGAGTGTATCCATAGAATAAATTCATTCAACAAATATTTATTTGAGCCCCTACTATGTGCCAGGCACTGTGCTAAGGCTGTAGAAATGGTACTGCTGGATCAGTGCCACATTTTTTTTTTTGGCTGTCTTATCTCAACATAGATTACAGCTGCCATTTGAGGGTCCAGACCTAATACTGCCTTTATCCTCACTGTCCCTTATGCCCCATCACATCTAGTATATATCTATTGGATACACACTAGCCCAGTCTATACTTGCTAATGGACTGAACCAAATTAAATAGATGTATAGTTGAGTGTAGATACACCAAACCAATAACACTTCTAGCATCTTAATATGGTAATCAATATATTCCTAGCAAAAGCATTGAAGTGATATACACATTTTTATTACCCTAATCTACAATTTCTTAAGAATCGCCTGAAAACCAAACCTTATCTGGTTATTTAAAAGACAGTTTAAAAATAGTTAAAGAAAAAAAAAGAGCTAATGATACCACAATTTCAAACTTTAGACATCTAGTTGAGTCTGGAAATGTTTACATTAAGATGTTGCAGGTTTATCATCTTTATTATTCAAGGCTAATCTCTATGAAAAAGCTGGACATGGCAAATCAAAAACTGCTTTATTTTCAGAGCTTTAATCTTCTAACATTATCATTGCTATTTCAGCAGAAACATTACAAAGAGGGTGCAAAAAGTAGAATACTGGCAGCAGAAAAGCCACCTTCGTGCTGCTGTGACTGCTGTCCTAGCTTTCTTGACCCAGCCTGGGACGACCGGTGCATCTGTATCTCCCAGCCTGGAAGCGCTACAGAGAAATATAAACAAGCCCACCTGCTGATGCTGTTTGAGCATTATGTACCTAACATACCGTAATGTACCTAACATACCGTAATGTACCTAACATACCGTAAGATCAGTATCCTCTTGTTTCTAAATGAAAAACAAAACAACCTGTAGGGCAGATTTGAACACCTAAAAATAAACTTTAAACTATTAAATAGTTTTCTCAAGCAATCGATCCCACTGATAATTGGTGCCCAAGGATTTAGGCTGTTTGCAATATTAATTTGTGATTTCAGAAAGGAATAATTTTAACATCTTTTGGTCTCACATCAGGCGGTGTTTCACTTAGATACAAAGCCAGTCGGGTAAATGGGGTGCGGCAAGAGATAAAAATGATTTGAGCAAATGCAAATGGGTTTTAAATGAATGGAAGTGGCTGTCTAGAAAAAAAGGCATGCAGTTTATAAATCTGAGACTCAATAAAGAAAAAAACAATGTATAAGAATATTGACAAATATTCAGAGGGCAAATTTATAAGCCTTCTACTGTTGTCCAAGCCATGGCATTGTTCAAACTAACAGCGCTTCTTGGCATTATTTGAGGAAGACGTATTCAGAAAATTCAGCTAACGCCCACCTTTTCTCCAAGCCCGGGAATTACCAAATAATTTACATGAGGAAAATAGATTCTGCTCTAAAAAGGAAGAGGTAGTGGCTTCCCAATGGGCCAGATTTGGCAACCCAGGGCTTCAGAAAGAGCCCAGAGTTATTATTATTACTTGAGAAGGAAAACAGATCCTTGGAACAAATTACTACAATTTTGCGGTCAGGCTTCTTTTGTAGAAAGCAGTAATGATTTCAAAGATTTCATTAGTATCAGCCAGACCAGTGGTATCCTTACCTTCTCACGTGGAGTTTCAAGTTCGTTCCTATACAACGTTAGTTGTAGACTCAGGCATCCCTGAAGGGCTAAATACATTACTTGATATTTATATAAAGTATACAGTCTTAAGGAGCATTACTTTTAGAAATTATCAGGTAATTGTTGAGCACTGCTATGCCTACCATCCACCCCTACCTCTTCATTTTCTTTTGGTAACAGGATATATTGTTGCTTCACAATAAATTCCATTTTCAAGACCAATAAAACCTGGTTAGAAAACAGGTGTCTGTGCTTCATGACTCTTCTTGTCTGTTCATCAGTATCACCGTATAAATCACGTAGCATCTTCCAGCTGTTTGTGACTTTTGTTTCCAGGGTGTTTATATGAAAAGAGCATGAGTATTTGGTATCAACCAAATTAATGAGCAGGGGAAAAGAAGTTAGAAGGAAAACAGCCTCCTTCTAACAACAGTCTTAGAGCTAATTTATGTTGTAGTTATCTGTTCCAATCATCGTGAGTGGAATATAAAGCATCCTTTTCCTTTCGTTTTAGAAAACCAATTCTCCAACGAATTACAATAAATTGTAAAACACACACACACACACACACACAATAAACACAGTGTTTAAATGCTTCTGGCTTACCCTTAAAGGGAACAAACACTATTTCGGTTTGCAATTTTTCTATATTTAACTTTCTTCACCTCATTTACAGATTTCTCCTTGGTGAAAATCCTGAAGATTTTTAATAGATCCCAGACATCAACTAAAAAATCCTCAGCTGGCTTCAAGTGTAAGAACTCTTTTCTGTCTAAAGAGGGTAATGATTACACTGACAGACGGTATAATGAAAAAGCACCAATGCAGTTTATTTTAATTCTTCTAAATTTATGAGAAGAACTTCTTAATGCTACATCAGAAGTCAAGTCATCAATACTTAATTTGGAAAGCGCAATCAAGAAAGATCCAAATTCTTATCAGGACTACACAACTTAGCATAGTACTAGGTACCATGACCCTAGAACAAAATCAAAAACAAAAAAACCTAAAATATGCGTGACAAAACTTCTTAAACTCCAGGGAATCCACGAACCTCCCCCAAATTGCAGACACAAAAGGTTGTATAGTGTGTGCATACACTTTCCTGGGGAAAAAATCCTGTAACTGTAATCAGCGTCAGAGGAGCCCAAACAGTACACAGTAGAATTCTGACCTCCTCTAGATTTTCCTTAATGGAAGCTGTGGACCTCGGGAAGTTCATTTGTGCACATTTAAGAGCCAATTTTTGTGGGAATAGGGTAGAAAAGAGAAAAGTAACTGGCAAGGACTGGGCAGGGAAAACTCCAAAGTATTCTTTGCTTTCTAAGTTTTAGTAGCATGTTCTGGTTAGAGGGGGAAATGGGGACATCAGTGGTAACAAAAGCTGGAAGCAAGGAGACTCCTAACGGATTTTTCAAGTCCCTGGAAAAATCAAACTTTAGTATGAATAGAGCAATAGCAAGAATTTAAAAATGCAATTTAACTCAAGTCCAATATTCAGCTTCTGCATATTAACAACTTATTTTTTATTTTTGAATATCACAAACTTCAATTAGAATACTTTAAAAAATATTATTCTGCATGCATTTCATAAATCTGACAAAGGACAAGTATCCAGTTTGCTTGTATTACGCTATGAAGTTTTAACTGAACAGCCAATGAACATACACTTAAAACCATTAAGTACAGTAACAATGAAAAAATTCACTGCATTAATCTGATGGCATCCTATCACTATGCACCGCACACGTTCATGTAACACTACTAGTAATTACCCTGCAGCAGAGGCAAAATGTAGATGGAGGAATCTCCCTAACAAAGCAAGTTTAAGGGATTAAATATCGTCGTCATCATCATCACTACTGAGGACAAAGCTGCTGCCTGTGGACGGGGGCCCTTCTTCCTTAACTTTCCCTAAACCACCCGTGGTCCCTCTCTCATCAGAATCCTCAAATAATTTGTCACTGGAATCTTCTTCGTCAAACAACTTCTCGTTGGAATCTTCATCTTCGAACACCTTTTCATCTATGTCTTCATCTTCCTTCACATTTACTTCTTCCTCGTCCTCTTTTCCGTCGGAATCTTCAAACACCTTTTCATCTGCATCATCTTCTTCATCCTTTTCATCAGCATCTTCGAGCCCCTTCTCATCTGCATCTTCTTCGTCCTCTTTTTCCTCCGACTCATCATCAAATACTTTCTCGTATGCCTCTTCCTCTTCTTCCTTCTCATCTGACTCGCCGTCAAACTCTTTCTCAGAGCCTTCTTCATCAAACACTTTTCCCGAGCTGTCATCTTCGAATTCTGATTTTTCAGAGTCATTTTCTTCTGACTCTTTTTCAAGAACGTTTTCATTAGACTCCTTGTCAGAGCCCTCCTCGGCACAGCCCTTCTCCAGGCCGTTTTCTTCTAACTCTTTTTCAGAGCCATCTTCAAACTGCTTTTCCGAGTGGTCTTCAAACTCCTGTTCTGAGTCGTCGTCTTCGGCTGCCTTTTGGGGGCTGGCCTCCCCATCAGACCCCTTGCTGGGGCCTGCTTCTTCCAGGCCATTCTCCTCACGATCCGTTTTGAGTCTCTTCTTTCTGGCCTCTCTTTCAGGGCCATTTTCCTTCGACTCCTTTTCAGGACTGCCCCCTTCGCACCCTTCCTCGGGGCTGCCTTCTCCAGACTCTTGCTCAGGGGTGTCTTCTTCATGTTCTCTTTTGAGACAGCCTTCCTCAGACTCTCCTGCGAGGCGGCTCTCTTCAGATTCTTTTTGGGGGTGGCCTTCTTCAGCCTCTTTTTCAGGGCCACTTTCTTTCGCATCTTTTTCAGAAGCAGCTTCTTCAAATTCTCCCCCATCTTCCGTTTTTTCAAATTTCTTTTCATCTATAGGTTCTTCAAATGCCATTTCGGCTGCGCCTTCTTGAACATTCGTTTTAGATGATGTGCCAGGGTGCTCTGAAAAATGCCTGACTCTAGAAGGCCCCGCCTTTTCTGGAGCACAGACGGAATTTGAACGCTGAAGGCCTCTGTTGGCCTCGGGAGCATTGAGAAAAGCCTCCCATCCTTTCAGCCTTTCCTCCCTTTCTCTCGTGGTCTCCTCCACCTGTGTGCATAAGAAAACTGCCATTACAATATGTTTTGGGCAAAAAGAGTAACAGTGGCTCTCAGCATTTGTAACATCAAAAGTACTCTGATTTTCTAAGGCATCTCTTTTAGGAAATTGAAGCAATTCTCTATCTTCAGTTTTCAAAACTTTCCATCCTGATTTACTAGAGCTGACCTTAGGATCATTTAAACAAATGCCCAACACCACAGTACTGCAGGAAAGTCTCATCAATTAAAAAGTTAATCTTTGAACTGTCTGTATTTTACGACGCAGAAAAGAAGAGAAACGCTTTGGTTTAACGTGTTCTTATTGCTTATTCTGAGCAAACTTCAAGATTTCAGGGCTATAAACCGAAAGAATGAAACACTTCTCTTTCTGTGCTCTGAATGTAATGTAGTACTTAAGAGAAGTACTGGTTTACAGTGAACAGATTAAACGGAACCCAACACTTATGCGAAAACCTGCTAGATCAGTATTTCTCAGTAATGGAACAATTCATGCACCCTTGACAGCTGCAGAACTCACCTGATAATCTGTAGTCCCATCCCAGGCTTCGGCGGTGATTTGACGGCCACCAAACCACCTTCCATCGAGGGTTTGAATACAATAATCAGCTTCCTCCGGATCCCTAAAGGACACAGATGCCACACCATCGGGGTGTCTCTAGAAAGATAAAGAAGAAAAGATGAATGAGAAGATTTAAGATAAAACATATACATTTGACGAAGTAGGTAAGTAGTGTTCTTCCTGATCATTTGAGCTAAAGATTTTATGTATGAAGTCTTTCTTCCCTTTTACCCCAGCCAGTGACACACACCTAGCTGCTGCTTTAGCTGAATCTTGTCTAGCAAAAACCAAGCATGATATACTTTGAAATGTTTTTGCCGATAACACTGTCTAATGAGAAGCAAACCTGTATGGCTCCTACGAATGTGGACTCTGAAGCTGAAGAGCCCTGGGATTGAAGTCTGGCTCTGCCACTTACTAGCTGAATGACCTTGGGCAAGGCATTCAATCTCTAAACTTCCCCACCTGTAAAATGGGTAAATAAAGAAAATGGGTCAAACAACACCTTCCTATGTCCAAGGATTATGAGAATTAAATGGGATAACAGGTAAAGTGTTGATTGTAGTCTATGATCAATAAATGGTGACTCAATTATTCTGTGTCAGTTTTGGATGTAAGCAAAAGGTGAGGAGGGGAACATATGGGAGAATATTTTTCTTGATTGTTCTTCTCCAAATATGGAGGGAGAAGTAATTCACAAAGAGGGGGAAATGTGGGCAAATACGGAACCATAAGGTCTCATATATGTTTCCTGTACTTTCTTTCACCTGATCATATACTCCAGAGTGATGATAAAAGAAAATAACCAAGGCACACCAAGTCTATCAAAACCTTGACTTGTAATCCATGTTCATCTAAATATCCTATCTAATACTGCTAACAGATAACTACCACTAGATAGCAGGCCTATTATATAAAAACATTAACCCGAAATCTGGGGGCATACTGACATCTGGCAATAACTTACTAAAATGGAAGGAAATTGCTTTAGGAAACATTGTGTAAGTCATGAACTTACATCAAAGAGAAGGAGCTTCCTAATTTGTCCAAACTTTGAACACTCTACTCGAAGGTCTTCTCTGATCTCATTCAGCACCAGTGGATCATCCTGCAAAAACACACATGATTATAACGGGTTTGCCCCCTTCTTTAAGTCCAAATCCTGAGAATCAAATTTCTTTGACAAACCAACAGATAAGAAAAGCTTTTGCTTAAGGTTAGTTACGTTTGTCTGCAGTCTGCAAAATGAAAAAAATCAAAATCAAATGGAGTTAGACTACCATGGCTGCTGCCATCACCACGGGTCTGCCCTGCTGTAGGACAGGGGCATGGACAAGTGCCGTAGGCGGGAGGAGGAGTGTGCTGGGGCAAAGGAGAGGGAAGGCAAATGGCAGTGGAAATCCCAAGTAACAGCAGCTGTATGGACAGGAGAAGTCCTGTGACAGTATTAACTCAGAGATCGCTGATTCCTATGTTCTGCACGGGCATCACCATGACTGTCTCGATAAGAAACCTTTGCTTTGTGTTTTATATAGATTCCTATTTACAGAAATGTTGCAATGGGGAGAGATATATCCCTTTCGTTGACTAAGTGTTCTAAGGTTATTCTTTGTGCTTCCAAGACTCGACTTTAACTCTCAGGGTAACCTCCCTTATAAGGGTTCCTGTTCATCTTGTCTCCTACCACACTGCAACAGGACCACACAAATAAGCTGTTGTTAAGCACACAGTAAAACACGTTCTTAGCTACTGCCTTCTCGCAACCATGAGTCTATGAACAATACTCAAGCACTGCTGCTTCTCGTGGTCTTGAGTTCAGGTGGACTCTCCCCCACCCACCCCCGCCCCAGCAACAAAAGGATTTAAGATTCCCTGTGGGAACTAACAAATCTTTCTCCAAGTCCCAGTGCATGAAAAAGGCTCATAAAAAGTCACATTATCAACTTGAATTTCAACTACATACAAATATAAACAAGGATATTTGATCTATGAATTTCTGCTGAAGCAGACTTACACTTTTTACACTTTTTAGGAAACATTTGAATTCATCTCATAGGTTTTTATTTTCCTTGCCAACTAAAGAGGAACAGCAAAAAATGACAAGTGGCTTATCCTTCCTAAAGTTCTAACAAAAAGCAAAAATAATCAACTGGCAGACAGTTATTGAAATCACATTTAAAATCACAAATATAAAATCATACAAACCTGAGGCTTCTACAGCTATAATGGCAGGACTCTGGATTTCTCCCATTTATAAAATCTAACTTTGGAGCATATGCCAATTTGCTTTATACAGAATTCTCAGAGCTGAGAGGAATGGGGAATGGAGCACAAAAGTCATCTGGTAAAGTCACACGGTGGCTTCAGGGATGTGTGTGTGATTAACTCCTATCAGATGGTGTGCTTTGTGCAGGGAGGAATCTTGTTTGACTGAATTTTGAATACCTCACAGGATACAGCACAGTCTTTTACACACGATGAACAGTCAATAAAAGCTTTTTCAGAGTCTGATAAACTGTTCCCAATACCTCCATTTTGTTTACCAAGAGAAATCAGGATTATATTAAAAACAAAAATTGTTTCAAAATATTTGACAAATTTAAGCATGATTCCATCATAGGGGGCGGGGAGCACTACCTTCTTTATCAAAATCTATGTACCCTTCCTACCAGGGTGTCAAATTTCAGCGGAGTCTTCCCAGACCCCTGTTTTCATTTTTACCAGCTTGAAAAACTAATATATCTTCACTGCTATATAGCATCATGAGGTTTAAAGATAATAATCCCCTCCTCTTAGAAATATTTTTAACCTAGCTAAGCATGAAAAATTTTTTAAGAACAACACTTTGCAAGCAACAGCCTTAGACTGAACTCAGACTGATACGCTGAAACCTTCCACAGTCAATTTTTTTCCAGGGTGGTGTTTTCCTTTCCTAGGAATAAGCCATATTCCTCATTCCTTTCCAAGCTAAACCTGCATCGTCCAAGACAGTGGATACGAACCACAAGTGGCTACCAAGCACTTGAAATGCGGCTACTCCACACTGAGGTGTGCTGCAGGTGTGAAATGAATACCAGATTTTGAAAATTTAGTACCAAAAGGAAAAAAAATGTAGCATAGCTTTTTAACATTTTTATACTACATATTGAAATTATAATATTTCAGATCTACTGGGTTAAATAAAAATCATGATTAAAATTAATTTCCCCAGTTTCATGTTGTATTTGTATTGTTACTACTAGAAAAATTTAAATTACACCTGTGGCTCACATGATACTCCTACTGGACAGTGCTGGTAAACACAATGAGAAAGCTCCCTTTGTATCCGAGTTTTGGTTCTTCATCTCTTAGGGTTCAAATTTTCCAGGCATGAATTTTTAAGTAAGGCTTTGAATTAAATACTGAATACCCCCTAAAGTTACATTTAAAATATCAGTCTTCATTCACCCTAATACCAAAGAGTATTTTTAGGAATTTTGATTCTAACATTGGTGAACTGTTTGAGATGAAAATATACAGGCATACTTTGGAGATACTGCAGGTTCTTTTTAACTGCAGGGCAATAAAGGAAATACCACAATAAAGCAAGTCTCACGATTTTTGGGGGGTTTCAAGTGCATATAAAAGTTATATTTATACTATACTGTAGTCTACTAAGTGTGCAATAATAGCTTATGTCTAAAAAACAATGTACATGCCTTAATTAAAAAATACTTTATTGCTAAAAAATACTAACCATCATCTGAGCCTTTAGTAAGTTATAGTACTAACATCAAAGATCACTGATCACAGATCACCAGAACACATAGAATAATAATGAAAAAGTTTGAACTGAGAGAATGACCAAAATATGACACAGAGAAACGAAGTGAGCAAATGCTGTTGGAAAAATGGCACCAACAGACTTGCTCCATACAGGGTTGCCACAAACCTTCAATTTGTTAGAAAAAAAATGCAGTGTCTGCAAAGTGCAGTAAAACAAGGTATGCCTGTATTCCACGCCCTGAAATCTGATTCCTGACACCCTTGGTGACCTGACAATTGTTTTTGTTGATGTCTGCTCTTTAGATTCATATGGAATCTTAAGTCAAATCAAACACTCCCCCAAAAAGTCTAATGAAAGCAGTTTTCCAGTTGAACACCTCTAACAAAAATTATATAATATAATATATATGTAATACCAGTGTTGTCCAATAGAACCTCCTGTGGGGACAGAAATGAACAACTCCATTATCCAGCATGGCAGCTAGTAGCCATATGTGGCTAGTACAACTGAGGAACTGAATTTTTATTTTATTTCATTTTAATTAATTTAAATAACCACATGTGGCTAAAGCCTAGCACACTGGACAGTCTACTACTGGTAGACTGTCTATACTGTGTAGACAGGTCTATACTGATACACTTCTCAGGTCCAGACCCACAGACGCTAACAAAAAGCCAAGGTGGCTGACAGGTTCCCCTCAAGCTGGTCAGACCACATGAGACCAGGCAGATGGGCAAACAAGGACAGCGCCAAGGGCTTCTCTGCCTGTGAACTCTGAGGCCCATCACTGCCCTCCCGGCCTTTGTGCCATAACCATCTGAAAATGTTCCTTCATTTGCAAAGACGTTAAGAGAAAATGTTTTATTCCCTGAGTGAATGAAAAGACTCTGCCTTGTGAGTAAAAAGGGTTTCATTCAATTACTCTTTCACTTTTTCTTCATATTAATGAGAATGTTGAGGGCCTATTAAGATATATTGAGGGCCCACTGTGTGCCATGTGTGCCAAGCACAATTCTAAGCCCTGGGAATGTAACAGCAGATAATAATAAATGCTATCAATAAAACTGGGTAATATAAAGGCTCTATAACTCTAAAGTTTATATTCAACCAGTAAGGGTTTTTCTAAAAAAAAAAAACAAGAATTTACAAGTGTGAAAATATATCCTTGCAAATATCCACTGGAAGGAATTTGTAGGAGTCAAGGAAGAATAAATGTGGCTTTTTGGAGGAAAGAGTATTTGTTAAGCTAGGAAAACTTAAGTCTGCCCAGGGTGATAATTAGACTTAAATTACGTATCTCAATGAGCAAGGTAGGAGGCAGAAACATGTAAAAGATTATTACACAATAGACTTCAAATTGCAGAGGTCCCAGATACTTTGAATTAAGTTTGCATTTATATTCACATTCAAGTGTTAGGAGTATGGAATGCTGTGAATCAAGGACCTCAAGTGACAGAAATTAATGGGTCAACTAATTTAAAAAAAACCTAATTCTTTACCAGGGAAATAAACTGTGGATAAATTGTAGGAAATTCTGGAGCTGTACCTACTAGCCTAGATACCATGATCCATCTATGCATGCCTTTCACAGCCCTAGCCGGCAGGGACAGTATTTCAAAAAGCAGCTATTGTGCATGCGTACATGTGTGTTTTTTAAACATACTTCATTAACGTTGTAAGCCTAAATACAGCAGCTCTGTTCTATTTCAAGATTCTTCAGGATTCTAGTCAGGACAGACAGCAAACATGATAAACAGACCACTGTATCTTCCCAATGATCTCAAAAGATAGAGACTCCAAAGGTGTCCGGTAAACCTTATCACATCACTGTTTGCAGGGATGGAGCTCAACAGACCATTTTGGGGCCCTCTCTACAGGGCTAAAATGATATTGCCATTCTGACTGTTTACATGCACAAAAGGAACAAGAGCGGGCTAAATTTTTCATTATGAATGTTTTTTCTTATGCGTAACTCGTTCTCATTAATTTCAGAACCCAGGTAGAGAACAAAGAGTTGTTCTTCCATGAACGAGCCCATCCGTCTACGCCAAAGCACGATGAGGACAAGAAGCAGGACGCAACACAAGGTACCCGGAGGGCAATTAATATTCCTTAAACCTCTCTAGTAGCTCTTCCTCCTTTATACACTTTTATACTTGCTGTTCCTGGAATCTTACATGGACACCAAGTATTATACAGTCCTCTTGATAGCCACTAAAGAGTTTTATAAAAATTAGGTCCTGAAAAACCACCTCCACCACCTAAATGTCAGGGGCTGTACTTGGTTAATCTAAGAATTTTTCAGGATCAAACTTTTAGTTACTAAAGTGAAGCTTTCATTTCCAACTGTGAATCTGGTCCTCCTCACCAAAATCAGCCTGTACTGTTGCACCGCACTCAAAATCTATAAGCAACTCCCATAAATCTTTTAAAGAATCTTTAAAAAAAAAGAACATAAATAGGAAACAGAAACAGACTCATAGACACAGAATACAAAC